CAACTCCCCTGAAGGTCAGCTAGGATTAGGGTCAATCATAATCTTCAATTTCATATGGAACAAGTCAACCAGAGGTTACCTCCATTGCTAGATCCCAAGTGGAACCTTAGGTTGATCCCATGTTGTGGGCTCATGAAGAAGAAGAGGAAGAAGAACCAATGGAAGGAGCCACAATGGAGGAAAGCCCAACGGAAGAGGGCCCATCTTTCCACAGGCCCATAAGCCGGAATCTCTTTTTCCACCTCCTTACCACCGCCCGTCGCCGCCATCCGCCTCTTCGCCGTCCGCACCGACGCCGCCGCCCGTCGCCACCTTTCCGCCTCCTCGCCGTCCGCCTCGCCACCACCGTTCTGCCTCAACACTGTCCGCCTCGTCGCCACCCTTCCGCCTCCTCGCCGTCCGCCAAGCCGCCACCATTCCACCTCCTCGCCGCCCGCATAGCCGCCACCATTCCACCTCGTCGCCGCCTTTCCGCCTCCTCGCCGTCCGGCTCGCCACCACCGTTCCGCCTTGTCGCCGCCCTTCCACCTCCTTACCGTCCGCCTAGCCGCCACCATTCTACTTCTTCGCCGCCTTCCGTTTCCTCGCCGTCCACCCGTCGCGCCTTTTTTTTCCTCTCTCTCTCTCTCTTCTGCCGACGCCCTTTCACTCCCTTTTTTTTCTCTCTCCCGCCGTCAGCACGAGAACCATCTTTTTTCTCTCTCCAGCTGACGCCCCTCATTTCGCCCCCTTTTCTCTCTCTCCGGTCGTCGGCATAATAACTGCCTTTTCTCTCCCTCTCCTCCGTTGACGGGATCTCATCTCATCTCTCTCTCTCTCGTTCGTTCTCCTCTCTCTCGCCTCCTCTCCCTCTCTATTTTCCGTCTCGCCCTTACTCGATCATTCGCTCCCTCTCACTCCCGTCTTCTTCCCCTTGTTAACTCTTCCTTGATCTTATGAACTTCCCCTTTCCTCTCTATTTTCTACTGAATTCCTTCTCTTCCTCCTCTTCGGATATAGGAGAGTCTTATCCTTTATTCTTCTTCTTTTTCCCTCTCCATTCATCCGCTTTTCAAAGCGTTTTCAAGTCTTCTAACAGGGTAACTTTACTTCTAAATTATCGTGATGATTGATCAAATTTTATAACTCTCGTTCTCAAAACTTTTTCAAGTCTCCTCTCCTTGTAAATACTGTAGCGAAAGGGAAGGCAGTCGCTATAGTCATCGTTCTTCTGTGTTATGTTGCTCTCTCCTTTTGTTATTGTTGTTCTTCTTTGCTACGTTTCCCTATCGGCTCTGATTTCGTATGTGAGTGGGCTGTTATTTTCTTTGATGTTATTCTTCTTCTTTGTTGTTCTTCATTTCCTAGACATCAACTTCTCTCTCTTTCTTTATCTATATATATACATCTCCTGGCCTGTCTCTGACACAAGTAAAAGCAAACTTAGATCGATCTTTTTTCTTTGCTACGTGGTAGAAATGAGCTCAGAGCCTGTTCGGCCGGAAGAGGAACTCATGCCGGCCACCACTTCCTCCGACTCTTCGCCGGCGCCGATGAGAGGAAGGTGCACTGCTCATCCCACAGACAACTCTGCTTCCCAAAAATATGGGTCGAGGGAAAATGATAGAGTAAAAAGTGGAGGCCTTTTACTTAGAAAAAGACCAAGAGAGAGAGATACCGAGGGAGAGAGAGAGAGAGAGATACCTGTGTCTTTGTGGGATTCTCTAGGGAAGCTTCTTTTCTGTCGCTTGTGCCGTCGTCCTGCTCGACCTAGCCAAATGGAATAAGCCGTCGGGAGAATAAAACCCACTTACGGCAGCGCCCTCTTCTCTCTCTCTCTCTCTCTCTCTCACTCACTCACTCACATACAGACAGACACACAAAGTCGGGGAGCACGGTTTGGACTCTAATTTCTTCTTTCATTTATATCTAACTGATATACACAACAAAAAATTTCCAGGCAAGCATATAAAAACTACGGTCTCCATTACATGAAAAAAAAGGTAGATAATGCCGCCTAGTCCACCACTTTTAATGTGAGACCAAAGAGAGTACCGAATAGAAGGTTAGGATTTAAGATTGTCCTTGATTAAGTTAGGGAGGATTATGATTAGGCTAATCCCACTGATTTTAGAAGAATTAAGATTGTAATTACCTGAGAAGAACTGTACTTTAAAAGATTTAGATAACTTCCAACCAGGGTGTCAGGATCACCGACAAAAGGCACAAAGAGTACTAGCCTATGGTTCACTCAATTCTTATAAGGAGTAAGGATTTAAAATGATGATCATTTCACAAAGGGAATTGAAATCAACGTACCTTGTCAAAGGAGATTATGGAGTGATTTCCTTGATTCTAGTGGCTTGAGATCCACAAGCCTTGTTGAGGAGTTTCTATTAGGTGATGATTCAAGAAAATGGGAGGTTTGGGTTGGGTAGCTGAGGCCCACGAAGTATTTGGATAATTAAAAAAATATAAGAGAGGGAAAAAAAGTTTAAAGGAGAAACAGAAAGGATAAGAGAATAAAATAATAATGAGAATAAATAAAAGGGTGGGGAGAGAAAAGGGGCAGAATGAGAGTACGTTGGTGGGAGAGAGAGAGAGAGAAAGGAATGAGGGGGTATGTGGTGACAGCGGGTGAGAGGGAGAGAGAGAAGATGAGTGGAAGCCCCTAGTCCAAGAAGCGATGAAGGGAAGGGAGGAACCCCTAGTCCAAGGGGCGAGACGGGGAAGGAGACGACCCTCTAATCCAAGAAGGTAAGATAAGCCTTGATTAATTCTCTAAATCACTGTCTCGAACACAATAGAGTCTTAGCATTTATAGAGGGGAAAGGAAGAGCCGTGGTTTTCTACGGAATGGCGAGAGGACGAGACAGAAGGGGTGACGGAGACACCTTTTCCCAAGAGGTGCCATGTGGCGCCTCTTGGTTGAAAACGACCCCCCCTTTAAGGAGAGGAAGGACATGAGGATGACATGGCATCCTCTCCTCATTCTTCTTCTTCTTCTTCTTCTTAGGCCATCCTTTGTGGATGGATCCTCCTGCTTGCTGGTAGGGACCCATTGGTCCTAGATCCAATATTCCATGTTGGATCCAATAGAGGAGGAAGGTGCCAGTTGACTTGGAGATGAACTCGTCGAGGTGGAAGAACCCCTGATTCTGGCACTTCTTCTTGGAAGGGTTGACCTCAAAGGTTGAGCCTTTGATTGACCACCCTCCACTGACTTGAGTTGATTTTCATGAGTGGAAGATTCTTCATTAGATCCTGTGATCCCATCAACTTCCCTCTTCATGGCCTTCTTTGCCTACCTCCCTAACACCACCTCCACCACCCCCTTGATAACATGTTGATTATGACACGACATAAGAATTATTTTATTAAAGAGCGTAAATCTTATAATATAGCATGTTATCATATTAAAAATGAACATTTATTATTTATTTGAGTATTTCATGAAGTTTAATATTTTAGAGATTTTTTCATAATTTTTCTTTGAGTTTTATAGTCATAATTGATTTTTATTAATATGAGGGAATTTCATAAATTTTTGATATCTTTTTATGATTTTTAGGAAGCTGATATATACTTCGACAAACAAGATCTGATATGTGGAGATGAGGTGACAAAATCAAGGGCTGAGGCGTTGATATGTGACATCATCAAATGAGGAGATCAGAAGTCATCAAGAACATCCACAAAATCAACGGCAGATGGAGTATACTTACTGAGGGTGCAGTAGATCACAATATTCAAGAAGATTTGATGACTACGACAAGACTTCCAAATCCAATGTTTTAGATCAACTCAACAAGAAACCATCTCTCGCTTGATTTTATTGCAGTCAAAAAGACAGAAATGCCCTCATTTAATCATAGCCCTACACATGTATTCCCATCTCTTGTGAAAACCCTTATGCATTTAAGCCGCTGTTTAGGGGTGGAAGAACAAACTTCGAATGTCCCAACATTTAGTCAGCTAAATGAAACCACATTAGGGTTCTACATCAATCTTGATGTGTTCGAGTTGATTCAAGCTTGATTTTGCAGCAACTAAGATCGTCAAAGAAATGTACTCGAAGAGGAAACTGCTTGGCCTTGGTGAAATATAGAGGCTTGAGGTAAGTTTTTCTAAGTCTGTTGCATTTTGAGTGTGAACAACAATCTAGCTCCCATAGGTTTGAATAGATAGAAATACAATGTTAACTTTGTCTCGTGAATCATTTGTGAGTATTTTTTTCATTCTTAATTGTCTTCTATTCTTAATTGAATAGATAGAAATACAACCATCATTTCCTTTTTTTTTACAACGAAAATTCTTCATATTCGCCATCACCTCTATTTTGAACTCATTTGATTTAAATAGTAATTAAGCAATGCCTAATTCTCATTCTTAGTGAATCGACCTCGAGCTTACCACCGTACTTATTTATTTTAGTATTTTTATTTGGTAAATTCGTGATTATAAATATTTTTTGATCAACTAATTTTGGGGCTTTCGACAACCCTCAATTTTGTTCTATCAAATGGTGCCGGGGGAATGAGTGCTATTAGATGTGAGTAAGTTTTAAATTGAGTTAACTTTGCATCATTATTGAGTTTAAAGAAGAATTTTATTGAACATTCACGCATTAATAGGTTTGTTTCAAAAATTATCATAATTTGTCATTGAGACAGTTATATAAATCTTTACTAAAATAGAAGTTTATAGTGTTCATTGCATTCCTTTAAAGCTTTTGAATTGATTTTTTTTATATAGATTGAATTTACGTTTTTAAATTTGAAGTAGGCAAGGTGAAAGTGTTTTGGTATACTGACTTTTATTCACTGTTTTAATTTCCTGTATTTCTTTCTTTTCTCTTCGTCAATACTCATTTAGTCATATTCTATGCAAGGTTGTAGATCCCTAAAAAACCCATTAGTGACCCCTAAACAAAATCAGACCGACACATCTAGCTCAACACTTTAGAAAACCCCATACTAGAAGAAAATCAAATGGCCCAACAAAACCTAAACAATGAGAGAATGAGGCTGAAAGACTATTCTATTCCTCTGCAATACCGACCAGTAACTAAAGTGAATGCACCTATAGGTGAGGGGGTGAATTTTAGAGTAGATCACCATATTGTGCAAATGCTGCCAAATTTTCATGGAATGAGTCATGAAGAACCATACAAGCATTTAGAAGATTTTTCTCAAGTATATGAGATTTCTTATTATCCCAAGGTCCCATTAGAAGTGATAAAAATGAGATTATTTCCTTTTACTCTTAAAGATAAAGCAAAAAAGTGGTTTAGAGCCCTAGCCCAAGATTTAAATTCATGGGGTGAAATGGAGACCACCTTCTTAAAGAAGTTGTATTATGTAGGGAGAACTAACGCCGTCAAGAAGGCAATTAGAGATTTTAATCAAGGACCATGGGAATCATTTTATAAGGCTTGGGAGAGAATGAAAGAATATACTAAACAATGTCCCCACCATGGAATTCAAAATTGGCAGCTAGTTCAAATATTTATGAAGGATTAGGAGATAAAGATAGACACATGATTGATGCTGCTAATGGTGAGACATTTATGAATAAATTTGATGATGAAGCCCTAGATTTAATTGAAATGTTGGCTGAAAATAATGCTCATCATATAGCATTAAATCAGAATGGAAGGCAATAGGGCCTAGAAGAGGCGGAATGATGGAAACAAAAGTTGTTGAATCCGAAATGTTTTTAATTTTTTTTGATATATTGACGAAGGATGTAAATTTTTTGATGGACAGGTCATTGACAGCCCCTGCTCAAGTTTTTGAACAGCCCATACATGACTCAGATATGACTGCTTGTGCCCTTTGTTCTAGTTATGAATATGCAGAAATAGAGTGTCCTAGATATGAAGGGTTGATGACAATGAATGATAGAGTTAGGCCCCCTCAACTTATTGCTGGAAACTTATGGCCAGAAAGGACACCTCAACCTCCTGCATACACAACATACTATAACAATTACAACAACCAAAATTATAAACGAGGAAATAGTAACACCTATCAACCATCATTCTTCCCTCAAACAGCTCGAAATTTCCAGCAATAAACTCCCTTCCAGCCAATCTCACGCCCACATAATTTTCAGTCCGCTCAAGCAACCCATCCTGCTCAAAATGAAGCCACCTTGGCTACTAATGAATTGTTGCAGCAGATGTTGCAGGAGCAAAGAGAGCAAATGCAAGAGCTGAGGACAGAAATGGAAACAATGAAGATGATGATGGGAGGGCAGTCACAACAAAGCTACACTACAACCGATAAACAAAAAGGTAAAATGGGTGAAGTAGGGTCAAGTGATCGTGAAGCAGGTCAATTTCCTACTCAACCTGTAGTAAATCCGCGAAATTTACATTTTTCTGTAAATAAACATAATGTTCATGAAGTAAACAGTAAAGGACTTGAGTTATAAACACTGCATGCTATCTCAAGACTTAGGAACGGAAAGAATTTTCCGGATCCATATGAACTGAGTGAAGAAACAGAAGTTGAAATCGGACTGAAAGAAAAATCCAGCATAGATAAAACTCAAGAAAAAGTAGAAGAGCCAGCAAAGGATGAACCTAATCCCAAGGGATATAAACCGTATGTTCCCTTCCCTGGTGCTCTAAAAATATCAAAAACAAAACTTACCCAATCTGATGATCATTTGCTAGAATTGTTCAAACAAGTTACAATACATATTCCATTAGTTGATGCCATAGAACACATACCATCCTATGCTAAATTTTTGAAAGAATTATGTAGACCTAGTAGAAAACAAAAATGCATTCAATTATCTGAAAATATCAGTTCCATATTACTCAATCACATTCCTAAAAAGTGTAGGGATCTAGGAGCACCTTTGATTAAATGTGAAGTATGAGGTATGATTTTCACTCGTTCATTGCTTGATTCAGGTGCAAGTGTCAATATTCTTCCCAAAATTATATATGATAAATTCAAAATGAGTGAGTTACAACCCATTTTCTTAGAACTGCAACTAGCTGATGGGTCGATTAAATAGTCATATGGACTATTAGAAGATGTCATAGTTAAAATTGAAAACTTTTATTTTCCAGTAGATTTTATTGTTACTGATATGAAGATGACTGAAAATATTAATCATGCTCCTATAATCCTTTGTAGACCCTTCTTAGCAACAACCAAAGCCACAAAAAATTGAGGAAAGGGGATAGTGGAGTTAAAATTTGGTCAAGAGAAGGTTGAAATTAAGATTTCTAAGCTATTGACATATCCTTAAAAATTAACTAACTGTTGCTTTGTGGATGCATGTGATGAATTTTTCGATTATGATTTTTTACAAGCTTCAAATGTTTTGAATGAGCTGCATGATAGTTCCAAAATCCATGATAATTTGATGCATAATTATGACCAGCAGCTTGAATTAAAAACATTGCCATCCACTCTCAAATATGCTTTTCTTGGTAAAAATAATACTTTTCCTATCATCATTTCTTTATCATTAACACCAGCACAAGAAGAACAGCTGATGAATATTCTTCAGGTGCATAGGGCAGCAATCAACTGGTCTCTTGCAGACATCAAAGGCATTAGTGCAGACACGTGTATGCACATAATTTTTATTGAGGAAAATGTCAAACCCTCTAGAGAAGCCCAAAGACGATTGAATCCTAAGATGCTAGAAGTGGTGAAGAAAGAGATTATGAAATGGTTAGATGCAAGGATCATATATGCCATCTTGGACAGCCCATGAGTAAGCCCTATCCATGTAGTACCCAAGAAGATAAGAATCACGGTGTCGAGAAATGAAAAAGAGGAGGAGATTCAAACTAGATTACCATCAAGTTGGAGAATTTGCATAGATTATAGAAAGTTAAATGCTGTAACAAAAAAATATCATTTTCCTTTACCTTTTATTGATCAAATTTTAGAAAAATTAGCTGGTAAACATTTTTTCTGTTTCTTAGATGGATATTCTGGTTATAATCAAATAGCTATACATCCAGATGATCAAGAAAAGACCACCTTTACATGTCCTTTTGGCACTTATGCATTTAGGAGAATGCCCTTCGGTTTATGTAATGCACCATCTACATTTCAATGATGCATGTCTGCTATGTTTTCAAATTTAGTTGGTGGATGTTTAGAAGTTTTTATGAATAATTTTTCAGTTTTTGGTCAATCATTTGAGTGCTGTCTTGCTAACTTAGCAAAGGTTTTGCAGCTGCGTGTGGACAAGAACTTAGTGCTGAGTTGGCAAAAATCTCATTTCATGGTGCAAGAGGGAGTGGTGCTGGGCCATCTAGTCAGCAACCATGGATTAGAGGTGGACAAGGCCAAGATGGAAGTGATCCAAAATCTCCCCCTCGCCAATTCCATTAGATAGCTGGGAGCTTGCTTGGGTCATGCTGGTTTTTATAGACGTTTTATTAAAGACTTTGCTAAAGTTTCTAAACCTTTGACTAACTTACTTTCTAAAGATGTTAATTTTGAAATAGATGCTTCAGGCTAGCAAGCTTTTTTACAGATTAAGAGGGCACTTATAGAGGCTCCAGTTTTGCAACTACCCAATTGGAGCCTCCCTTTTAAACTAATGTGTGATGCCTCAGATTTTGCAGTAGGAGTAGTGCTAGGTCAGTGAATTGACAAGAAACCAATAGCAATTTATTATGCAAGTAAGACATTGGTCGAAGCTCAAGTAAATTACACTACTACAGAAAAAGAATTATTAGCTATTGTTTTTTCATTAGATAAATTCGATCTTATTTGTTAGGTAGCAAAATTGTAATATATTCTAATCATTCTGCACTTAAATATTTTCTTAGTAAGAAAGAAGTGAAACCTTGATTAATTAGGTGAGTTTTATTATTACAAGAATTTGATGTCGAAATTAAAGATAGACGAGGATGTGAAAATTGTGTAGCTGATCCCTTATCTAGATTACAGATACACAATTCAAGTCCTATTGCTAAACTTTTTCCTGATAAACAGCTCCTTAGTATACAAGCTAGAAAATTACCTTGGTATGCACATATTGTGAACTATTTAGTCACCAGTCAAATTTCAAATGGGTGGACAGAAAATGAGAAAAAGAAAAATTTCAAAGACATTCAATTCTATTTTTGAGAAGAACCTGAATTGTTTCATTTAGGAGTTGACAAGGTTTTTAGACGATGTGTCCCTGAAGATGAACATCATAGCATATTAAATTTTTGTCACTTTTCTTCTTGTGGTGAACATTTTGCATCCAAGAAAACTGCTGCAAAAATTTTACTATGTGATTTTTTTTGGCCTACTATGTTTAAGAATTCATATGATTTTTGTCAAACTTATTTAAAGTGTCAAGCTGCAATCAACATAACTAAGAAAGACTCCATGCCATTACAACCAATTATTGAAGTTGAAATTTTTGATTTGTGAGACAGATTTTATGGGATCATTTTCCTCATCTAATGGTCATGAATACATCTTAATGGCTGTTGATTATGTTTCTAAGTGGATAGAGGCTATCTCTACTAGAACAAACGATCATAAGGTAGTCCTTTTGGTTGCCCAAGAGCCATAATTAGCATGATGGATTGGATTTTAATAACTATCATTCTAGGTCCTTACTTAAGAATATGGTGTGTAGCATAAGATGACCACACCCCATCACCCCACAAGCCAACAATCAAATTGAAGTCACAAACAGGAAAATCAATTTTTTTTACAGAAAATCGTTAGACTTGGTGGTAAAGATTGGGTAAGTAAACTTCTTGATGCATTATGGGCATATAGAACGACCTATAAAACCCTTATGGGAATGTCTTCACATAGACTGATTTTTGGTAAAGCTTGTCACTTATTAGTTGAAATTGAACATAGAGCTTATTGGGCTATCAAAAAGTTGAATTTATCTTTAGATGATGTAGAGAAGAACAGGATTTTACAAATTTAAGAACTACAAGAATTACGAAATGAATCTTAAGAAAATTCTGTGATTTATGAAGATAAACTTAAAAAATTTCATAATAGGCATTTGAATTGTAAGCAATTATTTGAAAATCAGAAAGTTTGGCTATACAACTCACGCCTAAAATTATTTCTATGAAAACTTAAATCAAGGTGGGATGAATCTTTCATTGTTATTAGATTGTTTGATTATGGAGCAGTTTTAATTACAAATCCTAAGATAGGTCAGCAGCTTAAAGTGAATGGACAAAGACTCAAACCATACATGGAGCATGAGCAACACCCTCGAGACAACTCTCTTCAACTGCAAGACCTGTCGCCATCTCAAACCTCCCATTGACAACTTCCTAGTCATTAAATTGACAGTTTTGAGAATTTAATATAATCACCTTTTCTTTTCAGTCTTCTTTTGTAGTTATCTTTTAATGCAAATGGAGTACACATATGGGCTTAGTACATGATCATGACAATAGGGTGACACATACACTGCACAGCAACAATAAATACAACATGGAATGCATTACTCAATTTGCACCTTCTTCCTCTAAATTTATTTTTCTTATGCACTAGGGACAATCCAGAATTTAAGTTGAGGGGTGAGAAGATAAATTTCTTGTAGTATGCACTCAAGTTTTATGAATGCACACATTTTTGAATTTATATTATAGTTGTACTATAGAAAGACTCAATCAAAACAGCACAATTTAAATTGTCATATTGTTCAACCTCCACACTCACAAACTTGCTTTCATTAATGAATCTTAAAAAGAGAGATCATGTTGAGTAGTGTTTTAGATATTTATGAACATGAGTTTGTAGTAAGTAGTTTAATTATTTTTTTATTCAAAATACTTCTGTTATTGTCATAGAATTAGTTCAAGTTACTTGATTTTCTAGTTAAGAATACCTTATGATTTCGATCATGAGTTGAAAGAAGATCACTCAACACTTTTATATTCATACAGAATTTAGCAGGGTTTATGCTCATATAGAATTTAGCATAGTGTGAACCTCCAAAGTACAAATATTCATATTCAAACTTTCAGCAATATTTGGAGAAAAGCTACCTGTAAAAATAAATAAATAAATTATATAGAGTGAAGCCCAAATGCAAATAAAAGAGGAATTTTCCTCCTTGTCCCGTGGGGCTTCCACATGTAAGACTAGGACAAGTATCACTTTATTTTAGAATAGCTACATGCACAACACATGAGTCATATTCAATAAGTTGTAGTGATTTGAGTTAAACTAAAATTTTAAAATCTATTGGTGATATTTAGCTAGTAATGAGAGTAGATAGATTGATAACTAGACAATTCAGTTGTTGAGATTGAAAAATGAGCTAACCTAAACTCTACTTGATCGTGATTCATGAATGTCTTAATATGAGCAGATGAAACTATCTAATGAAGATTTGTGAAATGATAGGCAAGTTAGTTGATGTGTCAAATATCCATGTAAATATTTTCATGTAGGAACTTAAAATATTTTCATGCTAAGAATCTAGCAATAACTCAAGTTCAGGGGTGTGATAACATGTTGATTATGACATGAAAGATGTAAGAGTTATTTTATTAAAGAGTGTAAATCTTATAATATAACATATTATCATATTAAAAATGAACATTTATTATTTCTTTGAGTATTTCATGAAGTTTAATATTTTAGAGATTTTTTCGGAATGTCTTCTATGAGTTTTATAGTCATAATTGATGTTTTATTAATATGAGAGAATTTCAAGAATTTTCAATATCTTTTTATGATTCTTAGGAACCCAATATCTGCTTCGACGGACAAGATCTGATCTGTGGAGATGAGGTGACGGGACCAAGGGCTGAGGCGCTAACACATGGCATCATCAAATGAGGAGATCAGAAGCCATCGAGAACATCCACAGAATCAACGACAGATGGAGCATACTTACCGAGGGTGTAGTGGATCGCAACATTTAGGAAGATCTAACGACTATGACAAGACTTCCAAATCTAATGCTTTAGATCAACTTGAGAAGAATTCGTCTCTTGATCGATTTTATCGCAACCAAAAAGATAGAAATGCCCTCATTTAATCATAGCCCTACACGTGTATTCCCATCTCTCGTGGAAACCCTTACGTATTTAAGCCACCGTTTAGGGGTGGAAAAACAAACTTTGAATGTCCTCACATTTAGTTGGCTGAATAAATCACATCAGGGTTCCACATCAATCTTGATGTGGTCGAGTTGATTCAAGCTTGGTTTTGTTGTTGAGATCGTCAGAGAAGTATACTTGAAGAAGAAACCGCCTAGCCTTGGTGAAATATAGAGGCCTAAGGTAACTTTTTCCAAGTCTATTGCATTTCGAGTGTGAACAACAATCTAGCTCCCATAGGTTTGAATAGATAGAAATATGATGTTAACTTCATCTCATGAATCGTTTGTGAGTATTTTCCCCATTCTTAATTATCTTCTACATCGTTGAACCATTGTTTCCCTCTTTTTTGATGGCAAAAATTCTTCTTATTCATCGTGACGTCTATTTTGAACTTGTTTGATTTAAATAGTAATTAAGTAACACCTAATTCTCATGCTCAGTAGATCGACCTTGAGCTTACCACCGTACTTACTTATTTTAGTATTTTTATTTGGTAAATTTGTGATTATAAATATTTTTTGATTAACTAATTTTGGGGCTTTCGATGACCCTCAATTTCATTCTATCACCCTTGTCCCACCTTCTTGTCTATGTGGGTCAAGGATGAAGATAGTGAGGGGAACAAAATGTTATTTTTTGTTGTCGACTGAAAATGGATGCCATTGGAGCACTACTAGTTCAACGGTTGGGCCTCCGTGTGGTTGGCCCTGATGTAGCTATTGTCATCCACCACCTTGTGTTTCATGAGCAGAATGGTGGTCCTGACATCAACATAGCTGTCACGCTCTAAATCATTCTCCTATTCTTCATCCTCCAATCCATTGTAGTAAGAATGCTGGTGGTTGTTGAGGTCCTCCAATGCCTTCTGGCCATCCATTGACATCGAGTGGGGCACGAACCATTCGGCCCTCAAGAGCAGATTTCCATGGTTGGGTGGATGATGAGTACCTCGAAGGGTAGCTTGCACTGCATAGAGGTTAGGTTATTGTTCTTGTATGATGCCCACCTCAAGGTGTTGGTG